AGATGGTTTGACACAGTGGCAGTAACAATGGGCTCAAATATGAGGATGGCGTAGGACTAAACAATGTTTCGTTCTATTGTGCATAACGTTGCTGTGAATCTGAACCGATTGGACAGCACCTAACAACAACAATAACACAGACTGGGGAAAACCTTGGCAATAACTTATGTGATAAGTTATTATTAGACTTTTATCTGATGAGTCTAATCTCTAAAATATATAGAAAACTTTAACAACAGAACAACAAAAAGACAAACAATCTAACCAAAAAATGGGCAAAGAACATGAAAGACACCTCACCAAGAGGACATTCAGGTGGCCAACAAATACATGAAAAGATGCTCGAGAATATTAACCATCAGAGAGATGCAAATCAAAACAACAATGAGGTACCATCTCACCCCTGCAAAGAAAATGGAACTGATCAAAACAATAGAAAACAACAAATGCTGGCAAGGTTGCCGGGAACTGGAACTTTGTTACACTGATGGAGGGAATGTAAGATAGTACAACCACTGTGGAAAACGGTATGCCACTTCCTCAAAAAGCTAGAGGTAGAATGATCCAGCAATCCCACTCCTAAGAATATATCCTAGAGATACATGAATATGTTCATTACAGCACTATTCACAATAGCAAAAAGATGGAACTAACCTAAGGGTTCATCAGTAAATGAATGGATAAACTGTAACGTATGCATACAGTGGAATACTGCGCAACTGAAAAGAATAATGAAGAGTCTATGCAACATGTTATGGTGTGGAAGAATCTGGAGGATGCTGTACTGAGTGAAATAACTCAATAACAAAAAGACAAAATAGTGTATGGTTCCACTATTATGAAAAATCAAGATTTATACGCAGAAAGCAGAATTCTTTGATGGTTGCCAGAGGGATGGGGAAATCACTTTCTAAGACCATAGATACTTGTTACATTTGGTGCTGGGAAAGAAATTCTGACATATACATGAAGGCAGCATGACTTGACCAAAGTAAATAGAGGCAATAAGACATACATGTGAAAAACGGACAATTTCATTAAGTGCTATAAAATACATAATTCTGCAACAACAGTAAGAACAACCAAAAAATGTGTATAGATATGGATGCATATGTGTGTATAGGAAGTAATTTGTGAGTAAATGCATATACATGTATAGATTATCTATGGTGTTATTGTTCATACTAGGTGCCAC